GAACGGGATAAAATATAAATTCTTTTTCCGACTTGTGACAATTTTTCGTGAGTACGAACATGAGAATCAAAAACTAATTATATTCGGCACAATATCACGGCAATCTGTGGAAATAATTGTGTAGCAAACTCGCGATTAATATTAATTTTTGATTCCTATTTTCGTATTTACAAAATACAACGGCGATCTGTGGACTTAGAATGTGTTGTAAACTACCCGATTATAAATAGTTTTTGATTCCTATTTTAATATTTATAAAATAATAAAAGTAATTTTACTCAAACATACAACGGCGATCTTCGGACTTAAAATGTGTGGTAAAGTTCCCGAATATAATTATTTTTTGATTCGTATTTTTGTACTCACGAAAAAATTGTCACAAGTCGGAAAAATAACTCATACTTTATCCCGCTTTTTGGAAAATAATTTGGATAATGGTGGGTATTTAAAAATATGGGCGTTTTACTAGGATGATTTTGTGTTGCGCAAATATTCAAATCCATCATCGATACCACTATTGCCGTATTAATTTAATTCTATTAACATGACTCATGGTATATAAAATATATACTGCAATAATCTGCAAATATGAAATGCCTGGTAATATAGCTAGGTTGTAACTTGTAGATAGCAAGTATTCCATTGCTTATTGTATGGAAATTCCTACATACATTTAGATAAGCTTCAATTAATGGATTTTATTTTCGAAGTATTCGAAATTTCATATTCGAAAAAAATAATTTCGAATGTATTCGAAATAGTGAACTATTCGGTTTTGGCCATCCCTGCTTATTCCCTCCAAGCTGGACGCAGTGCAATACCGTTGTGAAGCGCATTTCCGAAGGTAGATAGAGGGTGCGAAGAGCGAGCTAAGTAACTCGATTTTTACGTCAACAATACGTAAATCATCTATTTGCTGTGATGACACAATCCTTAGTCTTATTATGCGCTGCCAGGGACGAGAAAAAGAATAACGAATTGAAAAATCGTTTATATTCGTTGCGCCTCGGATATTATGCAATATGTTTGGGTTCATCAAAGATCTTTGGGGGGCCGCAAAATATGCATCGGCGGGCCGCATGCGGCCCGCGGGTTGAAAACCCCTGCTTTAAATTAAACTAAATGGTGCTAAATTAAATGCTTTTTAGGTTCAATATAATAACAATTCTAAAACTGCCACATTTTGGTCTTCGTAGGGAATAGGATTTGTTTGAAAATGAATCAGAATATTTTGTTCTGTTGCAGAAGATTGTTGCTATTCATTTTATTAATTCATGTTCACCGGTAATAGACTTTTAAGAATGATTTGATTTTCAGCAGTGGAGTGGGTATATATTTCTGCGCTATTGTATTTACTGATTTATCCATGTGAATATATGGACATGGATTCTGAAGTTCTTTAAAGAGAGCTATAAATTTTCAATTCAGTAATTAGTTGAAAAGCAAAGACAGAAGAACTGTAAAAGCAAACAACATGTAAATGCCCATATCTGTCTATCAGGTTATTTTTATCTGGCAATGCTGTGATTCGTTGATGTCTTTTACAGAATACCCTCGAGTCAGAGTGTGGAATTACTGAGTCATGTATATACATGCAGTATATACATGATTTCTCAATTTGGGCATGGGTGAGTGGATTGGTATGCCAAACTATACCATTCCTGTCTTTCATTTTTATATTTTAACGAAAAATAAAATCAGCTTAATAGGCCACAAGACGAGGCCGTTTATCTTTCAGTTTCGTAGCCCACATGAAGGGACTAAATGGAAATAATTTTAAAATGTTCCTTAGAAATTTAGTAACAAATAAATACCTTGTTTTTATTTCCCAAAGTTGCACGTTTTACAAAAAAGACGCTTTTACTACAAGAAATATGTGTTACCCTCTATCCTATATTCTCTGCTTTTCCGAAAACATTGGCCAATGAACGCAGACTTCTGCATGACGTAACAATTAAATTTAATCAGCTGCAGGCGGGCGGATGAATCTCAGTTTGTACTGCTCGATCTTGCGTTGAGTGGGGTAGACTTCCCACCGTTTTTTTTAGTTATTATTAGTTAAATTATGCTGAGACGATGTTGAAAAGTATAAGTAAGCTATTAAACACGTGTAGATCCTTACCATGGATGGCAATTTTATTTTGAGCACTAGCTCATATAACGTTGTTAAATAGGTATGGTGCGGTAACTACAACCCACTAGCTCATATATATAGCTCGTTCGTCCAGACAGAAATACAAGCATGGTTGTAAATAAATCATGCCTCGTTTTCGTGGGTTTGCATGTTATTTGTAAGTGTTATTTTTAAGTTTGTAAGTGCCACGTAACAGTGCAAAACACTAGCAAAATAAGCATCCAATAGTAAAGTATGGGGGAAATTTTTCCGGGGTCAGGGGTCGGAGAAACGTGTCAGGACGAAAATATCGCGATAACGGGAAAAACCTAGAAAAAGGTTTATAGGAAACGCTGTAACCAGCGCCTGTGACCATTTATCCATACTCACACAAGTGGAGAAACACGTCACGACAATCTTACGGAAAAGAATAAATTCATAAACAGCATACATGAACACGAAAAAATAAAATTCACGGACGAAGCTTACTTGTAAAGTTGTAAATAATTTTGGTGAGCAAAAGTGAAAATAAATTATGTGACAGTGCTTGTTCCGTAATGCGAACCCCAATAATAACATCTAAGCGACAGCACGCACCGTCAATTCGACAAACTTCCTGGGGAAACCGCCGAAATTTCACTGATACTTGCTCTCTGTTTTCGATCAAAATATTCAAAACTACAACTGCAACTACTTGGGTGGCGTAAAAAGGCGAATGATGAAGAATAATTTTTTTTCTCAAAGTGAAAGAAACTCTAAATAGCAGGAGGCGTAAAAAGACGAGTTACAAATGTTTTTTTTTTCAAATCTAGAATATAGGATAAGAACCCGATAAGACGGCTTAATCATATGAAGAACCATGACCTCTCCTCCGGTTACCAGTTGATGTCCGGTATGGGGCGACTTAGCCAATTATTCGTTATATATATATATATATTTACTTGATGGTGGGGGAAGCCGTAACGCGTAACCGAACAGCGATTACGTGGACCACCTCACGGCAGCGAGGCGTCCGGCAAACCTTTCGTACATATTTATCCCCCACAAGGTGCGAGCCTGCCGAGAAATATTTTTGGTCTTAATAAATACTACAAACTGTATTTTTTGTGTGTGTTTTCCAAAAAATTTAAGCCCTGCATATACGGGGTATTCCATCAATTAACCGCAATTGTATAGGTCATAATTTTTTTCCGATTACGAGTTCGAAACTGTCTGTGTTGGCAAGTGAATATCGCCCCGGCCCATAAATTTTAGCCCCTTTATATTTGATGTAAAATAGGCAAACAAAATTAGTTACCTCCATATGGTTACATATACTTTTGTAGCGCCGAAATTTCAAATATTGCTGAGCCTCAAACGACATGTGTCTGGTCCGCGCCGCTCGACTTTTTTTGTTTCAGATATACGACATGCTAGTATGCCTAATATATATTTGATTATTTGAAATCGGGTAAGTATCAATTTCGTTAACTTTCACACAGGAAAAAATTCAAATATTTGTTCCCAAAATTCCAGCCCTATTTCGACAAAGACCTAATTAACATTATTCAATCAAAATCAGCTGGATCAAAAATATAGGTTTTATTGCGTCATACAGTGTTTTTGGGTACACAATTCCGTATATTAATATAGAGTAAATATTTTTTGCAGAATCAGGTACTTCACCATCAAATATAGATTTTTATGGCTTCCAAAGTTGCAGACACAAACTTTAACGCCTTTCATTTCCTAAAGGCTAGTTGAACTCGGTAAAAGTGACAACATTCAACTCAACTATCTGAAATAAAAGATAGTAAAGTGTGATAAAAAAAATACCAGAAAATGAAGAATGAGGACTAGTCGCTTCCGACAATGTAATTTACGAATGGGTGACAGCATAATACCAACGGTTTAATGAAAGGAATTCATTGTGAAGATTTAGCTTTGCACTGTAGCATTATCCAAGCAATATTTAAAGCAGGGGTCGGCAACCTTTTGTCGCTCGCGGGCCAAAATTAAGGTTTGCAAGTCATTGGCGCGCAGCACATATTTTTAGAAACTTGAAAACTCAACTAATGATACTTTTTATAATAAAAATCAAGCAGTGATACATCTCTCGAATAAAATATAGATTTATTTCCTCATTGCATTGCATCTCAAAAAATTCCATTTCAATATTATGGCACCATGAACCCTTTGTACCTAGCATCAACTTTTCTGCGTTTTGTTGCCATTTGTCTAATTATAATTAAGGTAAAGGCACATTAAACGAGTAATTGCGAATTATATGTTTGTTAGGTTATAATATAATTTAGTCTACACGTGTAGACGTGGTGCCGGATCCGACCCGCGGGTCGTAAGGTTGCCGACTTAGAGTATGCATCACTAAATTTAAGTCTGAATAATTGAATTATTACTATGGCATTCTAAAGAATACCGTTTACCGTATCTCCATTGATGGACCTTTGACCCCCGAAAAATTCTTCCTGTACTTTACCATTGCAAAATTTTCGGGGCTATTTTAAGAGTGCTTTTGCGAGTTGGCGTCTGTAAAAAGGGGTATGTCTTTCAAACCATCTTTATGATTCATCGCATACAACAATCTGTTTTTTAAAAGTACCGATAAATAATTTTAGCCTAGTCTATCTACAGCTATTTCTACACTAATTTTTTATTACTGCAAATAAATTAAAACTCCTAGGAAGACAGAGTGATCATTGAATTATCTGATTTATATTTAGGTTTCCGAAACACAACAGAAAACTAACGAATAGAGTTCAAAAACGCGAAAACGAGATAATGTTTACGATCACGCTTGAAAATCTGTCTGAGTGAGAAAAGGGAGCATTGTTACGTCAGTTTTCGCATCTTGCTGATTGGCCAATGTTACGAAGTAAACAAGGAAGTCGATGCTCGGGAAAAAGGCTAGCGTCTCGATTTGACCTTCGAGGTGATGAACATTCGTAACGCCTCAACGACTTCTATCTCATTGTTACAAAATACAGGTTGACAAATGTCTAGCGTAGAAAAATACGTGAGCAATGGATTGTTTGCAAAAACTAAGTGAAATGGCTTTTCATATAAACCTCCTAAAGTCGAAGACAACAGTTACAATGCATATGAGTATTCGTCGGGATAAAAAGCAAAATATTTGATCAACCTACCGCTAGATGAGGGCAGTGACGCAGCACAATTCTTGGGTTAGTGAATGGATGGCCATTGTTGTTCCGCGAAAATTTGTCGAATGAGTCGAACGCGCCAGAGGGTTTTGGATATTTGTGTTTGTAATGTCGTAGCTGTTCGATAAGAAAATCGCATTTAAAACTAAATAGACGGGATAGTTCACAGTGCAACAGATATTGTTGCTTATTGTCACTGTAATGGTGGAATAAACATATAATTTTTTATCGTCGTTGTGATAGAATGGATATAATACAGAGCGTAGTCAAAGTGATAGAATGAGCACAAGAAATATGACGGATGGATATGGTAAAAATCTTTACTAAAATGATTTTCTGATGCCTATGAAATATCCAAGTCAAAAGGTTATATTTTGTTGTACAGGGTATATTGGTGAGCACTCCGTTTGACAAAATGAAAAAGCTGATGCTGTTCAGATAACTTTTATCTGGACAAAAGAACTCAATTATTTCAAATATGAGCCTTGCCAACTTAAGATGGGTGGAGACAGGTAGTATAAAAATGACACCTGAAAAAAGTGCAATATATGTATAAATCATTTTTCAGGCATTCAGCTAACAAAATTTTCATTGGGTTGCATGCTTGACTTAGCATTCCAATTCAAGAGCCTACAATTGTTATATCATAGCCTTTCCGTGCTGCTATAGCCAGTTGCGAGAAAAATATAAATCTCACTAAATGGTCGTGATTGAGGAGCCACGCCCGCAGTTCAGACAAAATTTTATACCAAAGTTCAAATGTACCTTAATCTCAATTGCTGGGAAACTTGTCTACTGACGCCAGTTGGGTCGTCGTATGCCTTCAGAGCGACGTGTCAACAATTGTGCGCACGAAGGGTACCTCGTAGATACAGATATTTGAGTATCCTATACCAAACGCTAGTTCTAATTCATCATTGGAGCCCATGTTCCCCAACAATGTTTGTGTATCCCTGAGTTTGAAGGGTTGGATCATTGCAGACGGTCAACTTTCTATGGTTCCTTATTTTCAACAACCAAAGTCAGCACAACGAAATGGAAAGCTTTGGAAATCTGGTGTCGATCGACCCACATTTGCAAAAGGCATCTTCTGGGACCATTATATCTGATCCTGTAAAGCCCATATGTTTATGAAAGTGTTTTAATAAGTTATATTTAATTGATAATAATTTTATGCATTCTGGATTGTGATCATTAAAATCGTTTGTCATATTTTAGTGTGATTGTTGGATTAATTACATAAAATGCAATCTTGGAGAGAGGATGGTATATCTGAAATATATTCAAGGGGTATGTTGAAATATCCCCATTCTGTTGCTGAGTTTATCCTCGGACGTCTTCGAAACGCTAACCCAAACAAAAAAGATAAGAAATTTGATCTAATTTTGGACGCTGGGTGTGGAGTCGGTGGATCTCTAAAGCATTTTCTTCCTTATTTCCACTCGGCAGTGGGATTCGACGTTAGTGAGAAACAGATAGAGAAAGCCCGAAAACTTAACATTTCAGAAAACGTTTCTTTTTTCATAGCGAGCGAAGAAAAATTTCCAGCAGAAAATAAGTCAGTTGATTTGATAATATGTGCTTCATCCGCTCATTATATGAATATAAAGAATTTTGTTTCTGAAAGCAAAAGGGTTCTCAAAGATGGAGGTTTGGTCGTTTTGTATGCTCACGGCTTCTCAAATTTGACCGTGGAAAGAATAGAAAAGTCCGGCGATTTTACCAGCGTTCCTGGATATAAAATCATGATGAATGATTTCATACAACCCACTCATCAGCATTTATTGGACAATGGTCATCCGGCGGGAGACTGGATAAAACGATATAACGGCATTTACAGCCAGATACAGGGTATGGAAAAGGATAGATACGATAGCATGACACTTGATTATCCGCTAACTTTAGAAGAATTGAAGGATTACTTTTTGTCGAGTCCGGCTTACAAAAATTTTCATGATACTTTTAGAAAAGAAAACGCTCCGATGAACGTAATGGGGGACAGGCTTAAAGCTTTGGCTAATTCAAATGAATGCGAGGACAAAGATTTAAAAGTTTGCCTAACACTTTCACTGTTTTTTGTGTTCTTTTTTTAACTTTTACTATGAATTACAAATGATAGTCACGTAGCATGGTTGTATCTAAATCACCTTCTTGATGAACAATATAGTAGTTTTATGCTGGTAGATGTGGACTATTTATATACAATATGATATTGTTACAATACGGGTTATGTTATTATATATATATATGTCTTTTTTTTACGTGATGATATTTCGAGTAATTTATATACGGATATAACTAAATATATTCACTTTGGGCCGTCATTGCAATGAGTTACTGTTTGAGCATGAACAAACACAATATATACGTAAGTTATGTACGTATCTCGTAGAAACAATATATATCTGGACCTGGTGATGCACCCAGTGAAAGATGTGTGTTTTCATATTTCCCTGAATTCACCAAAATGTTTTTTTTTACTAGCATAGTCAAAATCGCCTTGTTAATATCACATAAATAAATCTGTAAAGCAGGTATGCCCAACCTTTGCAGTCTCTTGGGCCACTTTTACATTGGGAAATTCTTAATTTTAAATACCGGCCATATTCACATAAAATCAATCATGTCAATATTAAATTATCACTGGATTCTGAGTAAAGCTGGTAAGAATATCTGGTAAGACATGGCCTGGACACTTCACTTCACTCGCGCGTCGCTGAATCAAACGCTGGACAACGCACCTGCGAATTTTTATGAGCACACGAGAATCTGGACACATTTTGCGCTAACAGACAAAGACGCCAAAATTCAGTGTAATATTTGCGTTTTGGTGTTCTTTATTTACTTATTTTCAGTGGATATGATATTCAATGTTTAATCGATCGTATCTTATGTCAATGTCGCGTGATTTTCAACAACCTCCTCACTAAAGGTAACGTTTGTCAGATTTCCGAACGGATAAAATAATTCAAAACAAACAAAAAAAATAAACTTCAATGTCGCAAGCTTTGACATACAGTATACATGCGTGATAGGGAGAACCGTTATTTGGATGTAGATCTCCGGAACAACCGCATCAAAATTACGAAACATACTTTGGCCTATATATAAAAATCTAAATGTCGATAGGGTTTTGTTTTTTATCAATTCCAAAAACACATCGTGTTTTAAAACAAGGGCTTGTTTTAAATCAAAATTTTTCTGTATTTTTTATTGAGATACCCCTTGCATCGCCGCGAAACTAAGCCAAAACGTTGCATTCTGGCAGCTGCACACGCAGCCGGAATTATAATTTCAAAAATGTAAGTAAAACCACTATTGCGTACATTTATCGCCACTTTATATCTCCACGAAAAGTCACAAGGTTTTACCCGGAATGTTTAGCCAAGATATCAGATAGACGTTTTGAGTAAGAAAATCATGAAAATTAGCTCACGAGCCTACTACAAAAGCAATTCGATCAAGTGCAGCCCTTCGGTAAAACGAGTGGGTTGCGATAATGAGTATATGGTTATATCGGCGGTAATCTACTGATATGAACGATGAGACACCCTAACCTAGCCTATGTTATTTGTAGGAGTCCTCTGATGCAAAGACGCCACAACTAATCTGTTATGATGCCATAATATGGATTCCGATAATATGGATATGGCTTATCAGTTGCGTCTTACTGCGCCAACCACTGAACTACAGCTTGAGAAGGTGTGCATGAGCCTTTATCGATATTTGTGGCGTTTTGAAAGATTATTGCAAATAAGAAACGCTTGGCAAGTTTTTACATCCATTTTACTTCAACCTATTTAATACAAAAATATCAAATACCACTGAACTACAGCTTGAGAAGGTGTGCATGAGCCTTTATCGATATTTGTGGCGTTTTGAAAGATTATTGCAAATAAGAAACGCTTGGCAAGTTTTTACATCCATTTTACTTCAACCTATTTAATACAAAAAAATCAAATAGTACAGCCATTTGAACCAACATTTGGATGTAGACGGCCGGAACAATCACACCAAAATCACGATACATACTTTAGCCTATATAATATACTAAAAATTCCAAAAAGTCTGCTTACAAATTCATTAAAACCGCGGGCCGTCGTAAACATCCTGGAGGGCCTCATGTGATGATGCGTCCCGCGGATTGGGCAGCATTGCTGTAAAGCAGGGGTCGCCAGCACGTCGATTGCCACGTCTCGAGTAGGTGATCGCGTCTGATGTTGGTGAATTTAATAAAATACTCGAAAAAATTACTTTGAACCAGTTTCATGCAGCGCCTGTTGTGTTTTTAAAGTTTTAAAATAAGACGAATACAGTTAATACTGTACATATGCAAAATACGATGTACACATATCGTATTCGATAGAGCGTATTATACGTAACAAATGCAAGTTTCACCGCTGCCAAGGTCTAAAAAATGAACATGCCGAATATCGTGTGCTTTGACTGAAGAACGATCCTACAATAACTTCTGCAGTATGCGAAAGTAATTGTCTCGCTCCAAGAGTAGTATGATAAATTTCATTCGCAACGGTAGCAGTGGCATGAGTATGCCCAATTTTTTTCTAATTCCAAACGAGCAAAGATCGGATAAATATATGATGAAACGCAATTGCAATTCAAACCATTCGGATATCTTTTCATATAACATACCTAAGGTCTATGGCCATGTGGTTGCTTGCGCGTTGCGGTTTCGCCGTCTATCCGAACTTGATTTTGTCAACAGAAGCAAAATAACAAAGCCCTAACATGATACTTTAAATAGCATATAGCAGATACGTTCTAACTTGCAACCAGATCCTCGGAACAGTCGACCGTTTGGCGTAATTTAACAAGTTTTATACTCTCCATCGGATTGCATCTTTTGAAAAGAGGAGCGAAAACGTGAATGCTCAAACCATGATTCTAAATTATTAACTTTGTAGAACATATCACACACGCCACTAAAGATGATGTACTCTTGAAAAATTCTAGTTTCCACAGTATGACAACTCATTTATCTGGAAAATAGTGACAAGGAACGATTGTGAATTCAAACAACAACCGTTCGTAAGCATATATTTTACAGAATAATCCTTTTTGAAACCTGAACTAAGTCCACGAATGAGTCTGGAGATTACCGTTCATGAACACGTTAAATTCAGTACACGCTTCATATCAATAACTTCTATCCTTTCCCAGACGCTGTATCTTTCCGAAGCTCATCATTACAACAAAGGTACGTCCATTTTTGCAGAAAATACATCATGATATGTCATATTCATGGATAAAATAACTCCGCTAAGCGCTTGATGATATTTGGGACTTATCTCTCTAGTAGTTTGATTATACTTCGCAATATAATTGAAACTGCGTATGATACGAATTTAATATTAATCCAATTCAATAAGATTAATTAACGAATTATTCGATATGTTATCAGGCTTCTTGATATTATTGGTATGAGGAAAATAACGAGTCTCACGCAGTCTTATATTGAATAAATATTTGTGGTATTTTCTCAGCCACTTTCCGACCTGATTGGAAATGGCAAATTTAACGAGGACTCGGAATAATTTTGGTATATTTACCGGTCGATTGCTTGCGTATTCCTAGATTAAATTACTATTATATATATACATCAGCCCATGATATACAGTTGAAAGGATTATTGCGAGTACCAAATTAGAATTAAGTCGACTGTATACATATATATATACCAATAAATGACTACTTTTTTTTTAAATTGTTTAAAATGGAAAATGAAATATATATGTATTTTTGTCTTCTGGGCAAAGATCGTAGACTGCCCAAATACACCATAACATGACATTGTTACGAAAAAATGAAGTGATTTTATGTTATCTGCACTTGTTTTCACTATGAAATGGAACGCTAGCTTATTATCTTGGGTGATTAGAAAAGATTCAGCTTCGAAAGAATAGAGATCGAAAGAATACATCGCTATAACGGTAGTATCTGCGTCGACAAACAAAAACGTGCATATCCCGAATGTTGGTCTGTAGAGAAATATGACCATTTCAAAACGATGTATAGCTTTCTTTATTGTGCCGGTTTGGTTGTTCTTCGTATGAGAAAGCATCAACTTGAGAGTTTTTTAACAAAAATCTATTTACATTCCTCCCGAATGGCAAAAATGTACCATACCACCTTCAGAAAACGATAAAATGAAGCAGAAAGTTTCAACAATGTTAAACGGGAGGATATTGAAATAACTAAAAAAAACGTTGTGTACAGCTTGGTTAAAAGGAACAGGCCGTTGTCTGACATGCCAAATGAAAAATGGCATTGAGTTGGGAAAGTGTTTATTTACATTCCCGATTCACATATAGCTGAGTTTATATCCACGGGGGATAAAACTTTTTTAAAAATATCATCGACCGTGTATACGAAATTTGTATTATAAGAAACGAAGCCTTCAATGTTGCCAGCAAAAGTGTTCTTATAATTTACACAAGGGGGAAGTCAATGAAAACTCATCTTTTATATTTTCCGATATTGTGGAATGTGTTAGTACAACCGCTGAAAGTATACAGACTATCCTACTCAAAACAATGGCTTTACATTCCTGGGAGAACTATGTGTTCATATCGGCGACATATGTATAGGACAGCTATTAGGAGTGAATTCGGGATTTTATTCCGATTTTGTCTTTAGCGCCGGCTTTAATCTTTCTTCCCTCCGTTTGTAATTACCTGTCCCAATTTTACATTTTCTGACGCCGGAAAGCGGATATATATCTGTGAAAACCTGAGTTGACCTTCTGATGATTTTATTTTTCTATTGCGCCCGTTTTATTTTCGTAGTAAATAGAGAATAAAAACCGGCAAAGTCATTGCGTAAATCCTGAATGTTATTTTGAATTTGAAGAATGATCAATAAATCGACAATAATGGCAGTTCTACTAGTCAAATAATAATTCCTTGGAAAAAAATTTGCACAATAATGCATTAACTTGTTTGACATTTTCAACTTTACGAAGTGGTGTTGGTGCGCTTTATGCAAAACTAGAAATTGAAACAATACCCAAATACGACTTCTCAAATTTGTCTTTTCTGTTTGTTAGCAAGAGCCAAGGGGTAACTCTCGCGGAACTCAAGGGATCGAATTAGTGACACGCGAGTTCCGTGACCAAGCAAAGCGGCATAGATACTGGATATATGAGTAGTAAACTGACATGCTAATAATTGAGAGTATGGCATCGAAAAATTATTATTGTGATCCATGTTTTGTTTTTATTATTACTATCTTGGCATCTCTGGTACTACTTCGTTTTGGTCTTCGTGTCCGTATACTTGAGCATCGCTCTACTTAAATTGAATATTATTACTGCTAGAAACATTGGAAGTTATTTTTGACTTAATTCAACATTTGAATCAAATTGCCATAAATATAAGTAAAAATACATGATCTCTTTCAAAGAAATAGTGAGTATATTTGTCAGCTTACGTCAGATCATGGTATAACTTCTTCAGACAATACAAGATATATATAACTATAAATATACCTGTGATTTTACGCAGACATGTTTCTTCATATTTTAATGTAGCTTTTCGGCTCTATATCTTACTACAAACAAAAATTCTCGTCGGCGGAAATATAATAATTGTAAATATAATACAGGGTGTCCATAAAGTCCCTTCACAATTTCAATTTTGTTATGAAATCAATTCTCAATATATATATATATATATGTTAACCAGTTTTTGATGTTTATCAATCAGTAATTGTTTCAAGTATTTTAACTTCATTTAATGCATCTGTGCGGGCCAAAACAACATATTGTAGCGATAAATTCATTTTGTAATTTTAAATGCGAACGTCGAAGTTTGGCTTTACATTCCTGGGAGAACTATGCGTTCATATCGGCGACATAACATATGTAAAATACAGCTATTAAGTAGTAAATTCTTGATTTTATTCTGATTTTGTCTTTAGCGCCGGCTTTGATCTTTCTTCCCTTCGTTTGTAAATTACCTGTCCCAATTTTAAGCTAACAATATTACATTTTCTGACGCCGGAAAGCGGATATATATCTGTGAAAACCCGAGTTGACCTTCTGATGATTTTACTTTTCTATTGCGCATGTTTTATTTTCGCAGTAAATAGAGAATAAAAACCGGCAAAGTCATTGCGTAAACCCTAAATGTTATTTTGAATTTGGAAAATGATCAATAAATCGACAATAATGGCAATTCTACTAGTCAAATAATAATTCCTTGGGAAAAAATTGACACAATAATGTATTAACTTGTTTGACATTTTCAACTTTACGAAGCGGTGTTGGCGCGCTTTATGCAAAACTAGAAATTGAAACAATACCCAAATACCACTTCTCAAATTTGTCTTTTCTGTATGTTAGCAACAGCCGAGGGGTAATTCTCGCGAAATTCAAGGGATCGAATTAGTGACATGCGAGTTCCGTGACCAAGCAAAGCGGCATAGATACTTGATATATGAGTAATAAATTGACATGCTAATAATTAAGAGTTTGGCATCGAAAAATTATTGTTGTGGTCCATGTTCTCCCCCCCCCCAAAAAAAAAAATAATTATGTAAGTAAAGTATCCGTTCTTGGGTTCGATGTCGATTGTCTTGCGCGCGCACACACGCTTAGTTTACTCTCATCTTCTTTCCAAGTTTTAAATTAAAAAGCGCCTCTGTAAGTCGATATGCTAATTTCCAACTGTCTATTGGAATCATTTGAAATAAATACAAAAATGAAATATCTTCGCGGCACAACAATAATCATTCCGCGGCACATTAGTGCCTATATGATTGGGAACCCTTGCTCGATACATGTTCACGAACTCGGCGAGTATAGTCGTTCTAGAGTTGCGTGTGGAGTTGACGAGCCCACTGGAATTCCCGGGCACAAGGTAAGTGTGTATAGGTTTTAACATCACAATTTTCCGTAGCTTGAAACGCTTTTGAGACCCTCAAGACTCATGGAAACACACGTTTTCCGGCGTTCGGCCGAACCCGCTAAATATTTCCATCTAACTTGGCAAACAAAAATTTCGGAACACCTCCCCCCCTTTGAAAATTTCTGGCTACGCCCCTGGTGCTATCAACTGCTTAGGCTTTCACAGCATGCCATTGAAAATTATTTCATCTATAAACTAGTGAAAAACACATAATATTCAACCGTGTACGAAATTATTCCAGAGTTCTTACCGTGATTGATATTGATACCTACACAACCTGATTTCGTGGTACGGCAATATTTATATGTTGAATATAATACCCTTCGGATAATCAATTCCAACAAAAACATGAAATATATATAATAATTAGTTACTCTGTGAGCCGTGGAACGACAACGCAGTTATCTAAAATACACTCGAGCTGAAAACGCTGCGAATTTTTTTTATACATTTAGCCCATATTTCTTACAATAAAGTATGGAATGCAACATCAATTTCCACTTATCTGTAAAAATTCCTCGCTGGCAGCGAAAGAGTAGCTGTATTTATTCGAAAGCTGTGACTCAGGCTTGATGCGTTACAAATCGAGGAAGAATATCCCAAACTTTGTTTACCTCCGCGGCACAACGCTCGATTCTCCATAGCCATATGTTGGCCAAACGAGAAGCCGAGTACATACATTCGCAAGTCTGCAGACTGCGAATCACGTGATCGCGCCTTGGGTCAAATGGCGACGAAGCATATCTTCCGTATCGCAGAACAGCGAAATCGAAGGTATAACGCGAAATTAGGTGCGTATTATGTCTTCGGAATTTCTGCATTTTGATGCATTGGGAGACGTGCAAATCGTTGGTGAAATGGAAAATTTAATTTCGAATCAAGCTAGTTTGTCAAACGTCATGAGCGGTGGTGAAAGTGCCTCAAATGGCGGAGATCAAGTTTCAGATTCACTCGAAACCATGGACGAATCTTTAATTTCGCTTCAACAAGTTCGATCGCAAAGTCCATCTTTTGAAGAAGTTATAATAGTGCAACCTGCCGAAGAAGTTATTAGTGACGAACCCATAAGTCACTCCAACCCTGTGCTTGGATCAGATCAAATTTTGGTCCCGCTGTCCGATCCACTTTCAGAACAAACAGCGGGAACATCCACTCCACCAAAGACAAAAAAGTCAAACAAGCGCCAAAAGAAGGGCGACCCAAACAATGATACAGAACGAAAAGTGTCACGGAAATGGGAGCAAAAACAGGTTCAAATCAAGACATTGGAAGGGGAATTCTCTGTCACGATGTGGGCGTCAGGTAATAATTCAAATGAAAACAATATTGCCAAACTAAAACGAAATAACGTCTCTGCGTCGTAAAATAACGAAAATACAATAGCTAAAGCTCCCGCTATTTTAAGAGAAAAATCGAAGCGTCCTTCCCTCGGCACACCGATTCCGCCATTACTGAACGGCCAAGATGGCGGCCAAAACAACATGGCGGAAATGATAAATCGCGACGTTCCAAAATGGCCGCGCCCAGCCTACGGCGTTCGGTCCATTGTACTGTTGCTGAACAGCTTGCATTTTACTCACACACTCCTTTTGACAATTTTGTTCAATCGACCATCGGCTGCATTTTCAGATCACCATATACTATCTCCCAGTTGTGATCTTGATTTGGCAGTTGCTAACACTTTCAAAATCACCTCACTCAAACCATTATATAATATATAAGTATACCTGTAAGTATACCATATACCTGTATGCTCTTAAGTCTGAGCTATCTGTATATCCTATACCTGTTTACGAGTTGTTCAAAACAACTGAGCTCAATTTATGTTCTTCATATTGTTTACATTAGAAACTTTGTATGGGCTTGAAAGCTGGAGGGTTGATTGTGCTATAACATATTTACATTTGCACTTGCTTATCCTATTACTCTTGAGTCATGAATGAATCGTATCATTTTTTTTCTCCCCCCCTCCAAAAAAATGAAATGAAATTTAAATATGACTAAGAGTTCAGAGCAGACTTGTATTGCCGATGAACTTAGTTTACCTTGAATGTAACTGGACTGTCTGCTGACACTGGGTTATATGTCTTCTAAAACATTCTTCCAGTGGCAATGACGAGCATTGACACCATAAAATACATTGAAACCTTAAGATTTATTGTATAAAGTCCATGCTTCGAAAACAAATAACTGGCTAAATAATCCCGTACTCAACATGGACTGGTAACTGTACGAGAGGCTGTGGTTCGCCATATGATTAAGCCGTTTATCAACTTCCCGCTCCCTCGGGATAAATATGTAAATTCTAGATGCTTCATCCTGAAGCTAAATGACCGATTTTAGTTCACCGCATAATAAACTTAAATATATTTCAATTCCCATAAAAAAGACGTAATAGTACAACTCATTTCTGTATTAAATTGGTTTTAGTTGTATATGAGTGTTGCATGAATCGAACATATCTTGGAACCAAACTGTGTATTGTGTGTTTTTAATTCATAGGGAGAACTTCAAAAAATTGTTATCCAGCTCACACAAAAGGTGGTAGCCCTATCAACATTTTTTTTATGGAATACTGTGGGGCGTAGAATACCATTTAGCATACCATTGTATCGTATCGAAATTCTCCAATCTAATTAATAATATTTCTGACACTAAAAAATGCATGACTGAGAGTTCGGTTGAGATTTAATCCCAACTGTAGCAGACTCATCACACTTGTGAATTGTTATAGTAGAGCTGCGACACTTTCGTTGCATATGGATTACCATTAAAACCAATTTGAATGTTTGCATATTTAGACAACAAAAAGGCAAGTGAACTCAATGATGATTATGCTGCTATAGCTAATGTACCATCTGTTGAAACGGTCACAACAACACAAAATGCAACAACATCAGCTATTCATAATTCAACTAAGTCAGATACACCTCATTTCCCGGTATGAAATAACCACCAAATTCTATGCAGTTTTGTCATTTATGTAAGGTATTTAGGTTAAATTCCCATTGATAATATAGTATACCAAGTAATGTGTTTGACAAATTTCTTTATGAAAGCTTGTTCTGGTACCATGCAGGTCATGACCATTCCAGGTTGGTATGTAGATCAGAGGTTGTGTCTAAATCTATCTTCCCCAAAATACTAACAAAATCCAAATATGCAGAAACGGCTTTAATTTTTGGATATGTGATAATTTTGAGATTTGTTTTAAAATTTGTTTGAGGTTGTATGTATTCAGTAATACGCCCAAGAAGTTATTCTGACAGCTGGAAGTTCGACCATCATATATGTTCCTTTAATAATTTATGTTTTAGAAACGTTCCAATCTAATTTGCTTGTTACAATTTAAATCAATTTAAGTATTTTTTTCAAACAGGTTGAAATTCCAGAAATACCAGAACGAGGTGCCAATGAAGGGGAACAATCCAGCAATTTCTATGTTTATACGTAAGTTAAATTATGTTTGATCATACTGGCTGTGGCAAAAAGAACATTACTCCCATGAAGATGATTTGACTTGAACTTGCGCTTTTGCTTCGATATGATTGGCCCAAAAAGTCTAAATCTAGGATGCTTTGTACAAAACTTTTGATAGATTTCATAAACATTAGTGTGTCACACTGACACTAAAATTTGTATTTTCCATTTCACCAACAGCATTCCAAATTTAAATTTTAGTTAGGTATTGTATTGACAACAATGCTGAACGTGCACCATAGAGAGGGAACAATGGATGGGCGATTTTTTTTATATATGTTAATCATACATGAATAATAATCTATTTACCTCTTCATCTACACTTCTTATTTCCAATAATTTAGGCGAAAAGACAGTAAATTTCCAATTCTTCAATACAACTTCAATCAGCGTGATAAATCATATTTGATTCTGCTTTGGTATTTAGAGGACTTTTTCAAAATTTTCTCATTCTCAACCCCCCTAGCAGTTAGTCAAGTCATTTTGCTTTTATGGCTGGGTCACTTTGAGTCTGATTGAGTCGATTCAATTGCGTAGTTTCAAATAGCATTGTTAAACTAATACTTTATCTGATTTTTTCAGGCCTGCCTATAGATCGAAACCTAAGAAGTCAAAAACTGAAGAATCGCCTAGAACTGTAGCTTGTCCTCACCAGGTAACACCCAATCAGTTCGATTACCATTGTTTCCATTCATTAAATTACATTTTTGTGTTCCTGTTGGTCTTCAATTTGAATGAAGCGCATTGACTTCTGAAATGCCAGTGAGACTCATCTCATACAGACCCTGGTATTTTGTGACCACAAATACAAATTACCCACTCATGTCAGCTGCACCGTTAAGAAGACTCGAGTCATTCACTCATCTCTAGTTGTTTGACTTGAGTCACTATTTATCAAAGACCCAAAGGGGCTCGAGTCATCAAATGAAATGTCTGTGAGACTCAACCCGGTTATTGACCCACCTTCAGACTCTGATAACTTGTGATTGTAATATAAATCATCCACTAAGTACTACCGTAGGTATTGAATAGATAGGATTTCAATAAATGTGATAAATATTCTTGGCGACCGTTGCAATGCCTGCCTCACATTATTACTTCCAAGAGAAAATAAGGTTGCGTTAAGAAAGTAGGGATTTCATCTTCAACATCAAATCTAGTTTTATTTGAAAGCCTCTGGCCTAAATTGTAAACTATCGCTATATATTAAGTTAGATTCCATAATATAGAGCACCTCATTTAAAAGTATGATAAAATCATTCAAAATATATTGAAAAATTTTCTCAGAATATAGAATAAGTTAGAATATCGGTCTGCTGATGAATTTTTTTTTTCTTCATTTCATCATTTTCTAGGGTTGTGCTAAATTATTTCGTGACAATGCAGCGATGAGGAAGCATCTTCATACACATGGTCCGAGAGTTCACGTCTGTGCTGAATGCGGGAAAGCATTTGTTGAAAGTTCAAAACTGAAACGACACATGCTTGTTCACACAGGAGAAAAACCATTCCAGGTAGATATTCATGAATGGTTGTAAATTCTGTGTTTAGAATGGGAACAGATCACTTAAAAGAAATCAATTTTTCATAGTTTTGTCTTTAACAAACAAGGTTCATTTATATGCAGATAGATCTACATATTCAGACCAATGAATGTGCATAATAGATTTGATAATTACTGATTACTTTGTTTGGCTGTAAAAAATATAGCTAGAGCTCAACTAATGCGTTTCCTCTGTTCGCTAGGGTGAGAGACTTTCCCCAATAAACATAATAAGGAACAAGTCTATTTTAACTCTTTGACCTCTCTCTCAAAAAGCCAATTTCCCAAGCTTCTGGTGCTTGTTTAAATTAATTTCTTCAAAAGTTTCTAATCATACTTGAACCGGAATATATATACCATATTTCCCGGCTAATAAATCTACCCGGCAAATAAGACGATGTCTATTTTTAGCACTCAAAAGGAGGGTTTCTCCATATAGCCGTCCCATAAGTGGGGTAGAAAACTTGCTTCTTTGTTGGTCAGCTAAACACTAATATGCCTAATAATTTTATATGGTTAGAACCAGATCATGTTTATTGGGTAGAATCATACTCCCAGAATTAACTATTTTTAAAAATAAAGCGGTAATTTTAAGTTGAAAAGCCACAATTATTTTGAATAACATATAATTTTATATGGTTAGAACCAGATCATGTTTGTTTGGTAGAATCATACTCACAGAATTAATATTTCTTCAACAATAAAGTGGTAATTTTAAGTTAAAAAGCTGTAATCATTTTGGACAACTTATTAATCCGAACTTTGAAATAACCCCTGAACAAGGTGTGATAAGGAGTACACTGTAGGTCCATGGGTTTGTTCAAAGCTGTGTTTTCCTGTCTGTGTAGTCGGCAAAACGGAAGGGTCATAAATCACTTTATCTCCTGGCCGGCCTTGATAACGGCTTGAATAGGGAGGGAGTTTTTGAAAAGAAAATGACAAATAACAGCTGCCAGTACAATGTCAATTAATAATCATGATTGGATCCCTTTTGGCTTCATGAGTACATAATAAAAAAATATCAAACTAAATATAAGGTTCACACAAATCATGTTCTGAGATTACCTGCCTAATAAGACGACCCCCCCCCCAAATCAGGCCACTAAATTTGGTCTAGAAATGCGACTTATTAGCCGGGAAATATGGTGTATATATAGTTTTGTAGAATTTTACACCGAACAAATAGAGATTTATTGAACCAATTATTTTGATATGTCAATTTCAGTGTCCGTTCGAAGGATGTGGAAAGCGTTTTTCACTTGATTTCAACCTTCGAACACACATGAGAATACACACAGGTGATCGTCCATATGTTTGTCCATTTGATGGATGTGATAAGAAGTTTGCTCAATCAACCAATCTTAAGTCACATATTCTCACCCATGCAAAGGCTCGTAAACAATCAAGTCCTCCCCCAACTAACTGGTGAATTGCAACAGACAAGCGTATGGAAATTGCCCATGATATTCAGACTTATCATATGAGGCCAGAAACCATGGTTTCAATGTGAAAGTTCAACAAACTCACAAAGCTGGTTAGTGATATAATTAATATGATGCGAAATCAACAGAAAATCCTACAAGTTTTTCTGAGCAATGGCTAGCGCAGGTGCTAGATGTGGGAGATAGTAGCAGTATTTTTTCACCCTTACAAGGGTACAAGGATTGTAGAATAAAAGTTGTCGAAAACGAAAAACATAATAGTTTAATGCCATATAATAGTGTATGGTATCTGTATCTTACAACGATGCGTAATGCCGCTTTCTTTTTCCTATAGTCTTAAACTAGTCTTGTTCAAGAATATGAAAAATGCTCTATGCATGCATCGCAGTGAAAATAGACCAGTATCAGACCCTAACCCCAAGATTCTGAAAGTAAATGCGATTCTAATAAAAGAAATATAATGCTTATTTCTTGCAAGGTAATCCCCTAATTAGTTAGATACTCTCATTTATAGTTAACAAATTTGAAATTTACATTTTCAAATGCACACAAAGAACAAATGGTACATTACAGTGTAGAGGGGTGGTGGCGGCTTAAAAATGAATTTCATTCTGATTCAGATGTAAATTTTGGTATTTAGTATTATGTATTTTTCGTTATAAAAACTTTACTCTCCTTCAATGTTTATTATCAAACAAATCATAAGGTGTTGAATAAAATCTACCACAGTTGTGCCACAATATTGGTTTAGATTTCTTTGATTCTGGAATGTTATAAGACTTGACTCAAGTAATCATGTTGGTACAACTTTTCTTGTTAAAACCGATTGTTCAAGCTTAGTTCTCAAAAAGAACAAAATTGAGCGAATATTTATTACTATGAGATATTAACAAAGCATAACTTCAAGACCATCAAAATTTACTGGGTTCAATTTCTGACTACAGTGCAGATGATTTTGCGGTACTCTCGTAGTATATGTACCAGGTTAGGGACTATAATTTTATTCCGATTTTCCTCAAGCTTTTTTGTTTAACTAAGAATATACGAGTTTGGGGTGTCTGTGTTAGCCAAGTGAATATACCCCCCGCCCATCGGTTCCAGTCCTTTTATACAACTTGATGTAAAGTAGGCGAACAAAATCAGTTACCTCCATATTGGTACACACACTTCTAGAAGCCCTGGTTTTGCTGCCATATTTTCTTCATCTTTATTATATCTTGCCAAAGTTTGTGACAGCCCATCTACTTTTAGATTATTGGAATTTTCTTGTCCTTTTCAATAATATTTGTCTTGTATTCTAAGTTCCAGAAGATCATTGTGATAATGTATTAATGGTTATGGATCTTGAATAAATTTTCTATGTCAAAAAAAAATTGTCAGACTGGATATAATCAACAAATTAATTTATATCCTACAAGTCAACATACCAAAGAATAGGTTAGTTTGATTTTGAAGAAGAAACACATGATGAATTTGGTGGGTGTATTGACCTAGTAGGTAAAGCATTAGACTCAACGACAATGGCATTGCAGGTAAAAATGACCACCACCTCCCAAAGTTGTAATAAATTGGCAAGCAATGTCTCCAGTGTTTCAGGACTATAGTGGCACCATTACCTAGCATTCTACTCTAAAAAATCTGTGCTTGCAGAAAACTGCGAATTTACTGAGTAGACGATTTACAATCTCTATTTTCAATCTCTGATTTTGTTTATAAGTGACTATGTTCCTTGTTAAATGAAAGAGAACATTTTGAATGCTTGAACGGTCTATGTGTTGTTAGACATGGTAATATTTGTATACTTTTTCGCCAAAGTAAAATTGTTGCAGTGTACCTATTTCATTTTTGAAATAAGATGTAAATTTTCAGAATAAATGTTATTTTGAGTATCAAATATGTGAGTATTTTGCTTTGTAAGAAGAAATTACCTCGTCTAGAGTGAGGTTAGATAGATCATGTCTATTAGTCCTATTTCTGCTAAGTGAAGTCTTAAGGGGCGTCAAAAGAAATTCGAAGAAATGATCAACTTTATTTCACTCTCAAATTGTTCTGAACTTGACTTTGAGCCAGATAAAATTTACAATCAACTCTGGGTTGCAAAAAATTTCATATCTGACTCCAGTTCTGAAATTATCAAATTATGATAACGAAAAAGCTTTTATTATGATAAAGAGTGTTCATAACACATCATGAAATAAATGTTATTTGAACTTTATTAAAAGGAAGTTTTGACTTTTTTTTATTCCGGCTCAGGCAGTCCAGAAAAAATCAATTTTTGATCTAGCAAAAACACGCCGCACTCAACAGCACTGCTCGGATGATGAATCGATATCACCCAGAGTTTGCCTACTATTCGAGGCATAAAGCCCTGAAAATTTTGATTTTTGAATGGCAAATATATCAAGGATCTCTGTTTTACTTCTCATTCAACACCATTCGGACTGATATGTTTAGGCTACATAACACAATGCTTTAAGATGAATTTTTAGCTATTTTTATTAGTTATCTAAAAGTTATCTTTATTAACTTTAAAAAGTTCACAAGCCAGTGGATAACAAGAAATCAAACATTTCAAAACAAAGCCTGCCAATTCTTAAAACCTGGTATCCATTGACCAACAAGTAACAAGCCACGCTTATAAATATATTATTTTAATTCAGAAGCTCTATTCGCTAGCAAAACTACTCAAATGGCATATTATATATATGTATATATTGCAAGCAATAAAGACCATTTTCAACGCAATTATAGTAAATTGATTACAAAAATATCTGATAGAATAAATACAATAGACATTTGAACCTTTTTTTCATAAAAAATGTTTGACATTGTGAATCAATTTAATAAAGTTTCGTTCTTAGGTTAAATCTAACAACTTGCTCAATAGTTTAACCTGTCTCCACTGACGGAAGATTTGGCTTAGATGAAATTTTAGATAGATCTAAGTTTGTGCTTTTATAGATTGAAGACCAGAAAACAGAGAAGTTGAATCATTTAGACCAAAATAATGAAATTATTCTTTAACGTAGCAAATCTTAGCTAAATTTAACACCCATGTATCGAAGAATTTTGGACTAATATGAAAACATAATGTAGTAACTAAATCAGGTGACGCAAGATCGTAAAACAGAATTAATTTACCTTCAATGAAATGGTGACAAATATCCCAGATATGGTCATTTGGGAAATAATGGAGCATATACAGACAGGGTATTCAGAAAAAAAAAAGTCTGAAAAATTTGTTAACTTTTACAGTATGTCAAATGGTTTGGCAATTTTGCTAAACAAAAGTACAAACACATTGAATATTCTATTCTCAACAGGTTATATGACTAATAAATAGCTAGGTACAGAGATAGTTATATTGTGATTTGACTTGCCTCCATATTGGGTTGCCATTTCACATCAGGTTTTTGGACAACACCAATACATTTTTGCAAAAGTTATTTAATAAATGCCATTAAAAATACAGCACTCTTTTAGCATACTTAGTTGCAGACCAATCAGTTGTACAGCAAAAAATTCTGATAACATTCTGCAATATCAGTTAAATTGCATGATTTGTTTACGAGATGTTTCCATACCTTCAATCAGTATACACATTATGCTCATACAAGACTGTAATCGCCCATGATATGTAAATAATGGGGTTTTTTTGGTACATCAGGTGCCTGCAATCAGTGAAACAGTAATTTTTTAAAGTAAATCTAGACTCGAATTTGCTTAAAATGGATCAGTAAAATTTCCTTCGTTGCAAAAAAAAATTGGTCGGTAAATTGATTGGAAGGAATGCCAAAGTAAAACCAGAATATTTTACTATTCAGAGCAAAAAACCCAGTGCTGTAGAATTTCACGAATACAAAGCAAATATTGATGTCATAGCAGTGGAAGATTTGTCTGTTCAAGGAATGAATTCTGGTACTTGTATGCAAGAATGTACAAATTCACAAGAATGTACCAATTCACAGTAATTAAGTAATATGGCTGTTCTTGGTTTTTTTTCGGAAATGTCCATCAAATGCTTGGCAGTGTCGACAAAATAAAATTGGCATACAGAGGAAAATAAGATGTTTTAAAAACCTTCTTTATCTCCCTCTAACAAGAGATCACCCGAATTATTTGCAAAAATTTCATATTAAGTCCATGCATTGTTTTAGAACTCAAGTTTCAAGACTTTTATTTCTTGGAGATCACGCAGAAGCGCTGCATATTCGTATCGGTTTGTGTCAAAAAGTTTCTGTTTAATGTGTAAATCACTTGAAGTGTCTTTCAGGTCAGGAATGAAAGATCAATATTGTCTTGAAGTAAAAATCGAAATTTAAAAACATGTGACTGGACTCTTTTGAAATTGATCAAAGTGTTATATATTTTTGACAAATACACATTATTAAATATCAATATGATAAAGTGCCTGAAAAAATATAAAATCAATTTTTGGAAAAGGTAAACTGTTGGCAAGGGTAGTTAAGTTAAAAATATAGTTAAAACATAGAAGACTGGCAATGTGAAACAATAAAAAACAAGAAAATTGCAATCAGTAATGTAACATTCCTACTACTTTCAAATTATAAATGGAAATATGCCAAATAAGGTTGATAACATAATTGTGATAATGTGACTGAAATTGTATTGTTCATATTTCATTCCAAATTTTTTAAATTGGCCTAATTAATTCAATGTAGAAAAAATTTTGAAACAAATAAAAAATTGTTTATCAGACCTGTTCAAGAATTATAATTTTAATACCATAAACACCAGCTTGATAGAAAATTCCATTCAGAATAATGAGACAAGCACGATAAATGAAAAGCAAAAAAAAAGCATTGTGAAATATAATAATTTGCAAAGACAAGCAATAATATTGTGTTACAATTACATTAAGCATGAAGTGCAAAAAAAATAACACAGTTCATCTAATACTATACCATGAATATTTCAATTAAAGTTTAACAGTATAAGAAAATCATTTTTGGTTAATGGATGTTTCCCCAAGCATCGACTTCCTTATTTGATCATTTTCGGTTAATGGATGTTTCCTCAAGCATTGACTTCCTTATTTATTTCTGTAACAATGACCAATCATCAATACGTTGACAGTGATTTTTTACATTTCAGACTGTGAACAATGGTCTGTTATTATGAGTTTATTCATGTCAGTTTAAGTTTTTCTGGGGTCAAAGGTTGCGTAACATTCACTGTTTGTGTAACAAATATGGTATATGCAGTACATAATTAAAAACACTTAGAAAAAGAATTTTTCTTATAAAAGTTACCATTGTGTATATCATCATTCTGTGTATATTAGAGATGGAATAATTGTGTATAAAAATTGCAAAGGTAAGTAGGTATAAGGCAGCCAAAGGCAGGAAGTATCAATACATTTTTACAGTACCCAGTGGGATAAGCAATACATTCAGTGCAATATGAACCAGAATAAAGTAATAATAGAAGATGCAATTTATTTTTTATATCCCAATAAAACAAATTAAGCTTAAAGCTCAATATAATATACAGTACATACATTTGAAATCACAATAATTTTTTTTTCACAATATGTAGAATCAATTGACTTGTAAAAAAAAGTCTAAAAAACATGGCCTCAAAAATTAAGAACAAATCGTGAATTTCCTTTTTCCACATGCCACTTGTGCAATAATAAAGTAAAATTGAAAGTTTTTCAGTGTGGCAGCTGGAAAAAATTATCCCGATTTGGAAAACTATTTGGGGAGAGACATACCATCTCTATCTAATCTCATAGATTGATTTGTTTTTTTTCAACCTGCAAGTTTATATAAAACTTCAACCAAAATCAATGCAATATATACCGACGGCCCAAAGAATCAAGGATATCCGTTTTTCTTTTTATAAAAATATTGAGTTGAAACTTGAACAACGGCAAAAGTTGCTGCATTAACAGGAAATGCTCGGATTATTGTTGAATTGAGACCTCTAAAGAAAGAGAAATATTCAGTTAGGAAGTTTTGAATTAGGTTCTACGAAAGTAGCATAGTACTTCCTTTATGTATATATATATATATATATTTGTAATTTATTTCACTGAATCGAGGAGTTACAGCTTACAGGGTGCCCCAATATAGTACCCTATGTTAAAATACAAAAATAAACATAAATTTTTTTCTTGATTGATATTCACAAAATAATAGTTTTCGATAGGATACAATATGATCTCAATTTCAAATGTATTGGTAATAAACTTACTGGCTGCATGGTAAAATTTTCATACCTGTATAAAAGTCTTGGTCCCTCTTTTTCGATACCTTTCTTTAAACAATCTATAGTGCCTTTATATTTGGAGTTTTCAAAATGATCGGCTTGCAGTCGTGACTTCAAGACGTCGAACGGATAGGTGATAACCCATGACAAAATACCTGCTATTCCACCAGACAACATCATCTTTAAAATAGTACCAAGCTGATATGTTTCAGTTTTATCCACCTGGTATAAATATCATCAATTAGCTATAGTGCTGATAAGGAATGGAACATAGAAACTAAATACAGAATGCTTGAAATAGGTTGAATCAGAATTGCAATTATTATAATATATGTTTACTTATTCTCTTCGAATAAAAAGAAGGCCAAAACGAAGTAGTATAATATCTTTTACAGCACCGCAAGCGATAGTCTACCCCATCAAAACTTTGCTGACCACCAGATATCGCTGAAATATGATCACGGAACTAGTGAGCGGAGCAAAATTTTCAATTTTGATGACATGAGAAAGAAGTTCAAAGTGAAAAACGAATTCCATAGAGTAATAAGTATAAGTATAAGAACAACTATCTTTAACTACTGAAAATTTCAAAGAAATTCATCCAGTAGCTAAAGAGAAGGGCAATTTTTTCACAACAACAGTTTAAATAACAAAATCTTCCCATAGGTCCACTTTGTGTCCAAAAACAATATCACAAATTAATAAGTCATAAAAAGCTTTTCTATCGTAATTCGCAGGGCCAGTTTCTGAAATGGGAACAGGGATGGCGAGTGAGATAGTCAAAAGTGGAAATAAATAATGGAATATTGATTTCTTGTTATAAAATCAATCTTTTAGAAAGTAATCCAGGTAGTGTTGTGTGACATATAAATATTTGTCATAAAGTAACTATTTACAACAGGATTTTGCAACGGGCCACAATCTTTTTGGCTTTAAATGTTGTCTCATATTTTTTTATCGAAAATATTTATGACAGTAAATATACGATAACAATTTTATCATATGGCAAACAAGAAGATATTTTTAAAAGCTGACGATCTTGACTGTAATGACTCTTATTATTTGTGAAACAAGGTCAAACATATGTCACAGTTTTCAGTCTCCATCAATCGAATAAAACAAATATTTGACTGGAAACTAAACAAATGACACCAAGTTCAATGAACCAAGAATGCTGAATTATATTTTATTTAAAATTATTCACAAAACAACTGCAATCATTGGTAAATACTAATAACATCAAACTTCAGTTAAAATATACCAGCATTATTAACAGTATGGGGATAAAATAACTTGATAATTACCGTACATCTTTAAATGAGTAGTAAATATTAATAAGAAATTTCATACCCTATCAAGGCTTCTGCTTGTCTAAGTAAATTAACTTTAAAACTTCACTATTTATATAGTGAAAGAATTAGCAGTATAAAGGAAAGCACATTTTGAATTGTGCATTGTTGTGTTTGCTACAACAAAAGTTTAGTTTATTTATCATTCAAATCACAACTCTTCAAAATCTCTTGACAATTTTAAGTACCCTTGATACAGCACTGATTCCCAGATTGACACTGTTTCGAAATAGCGTTATTAGGTATATGCCTATGGAGAAAGGATGTATTTCATCACAACCATGAATCACTTGTTAATAATTAATTCAAAATTTGAATTGAAGTTAAATATTACCTTGACCAAGAGACCCAAACCCAAATATAATTTAATAACAAAAATATAATTATCATGACTCAAACACATTGAATTATGAAATAAAAGTGCTTTTTGTTTATTGACTTATTGATTGAAATTCAAGGATTACAGTCATATGCTGTGGAAAATTTGAATCGCCATGAGCATTGATCATATCAGTCAGTCGTTAGGATTGATTCTATGTTGACTTTTCGTGAAATGTTACTGTGTTTGTTTGTAACTTTCCTTGGTAATCAGCAGTGTTACTATGTATGACTCAGGCATCATCAAGATCAAAAGTAACCGACCACAATGGCCATATAATGTTACACAACAGGGGTGCGCAAAATAAATTGAACATTTGGATCAATTCGATATTTCACATTCTTGTATAGGAAGAGTTTCAGAAATAGGCCAAATTTTGAATAAATATTCGATATTGCATACTCGAGAACATAATTTTAGAATGTATATGGAATAGCGGATTATTTGGCTTTGACCATCTATGTACGCCATCCACATATATATATATTAATGAAAATCATGTATTTTTCGTTTAATTAAATACAACTATAATAAAAAAATCCAACTATGAATGGAAAAATGACCAAAGACTAAACATGAATGCCTAATTTATTGGATTGGACTTTCTGAATATTGAAAACAAACAGGAACTTAAATAGGATATGCATGAATATTGATCACTATAACAAAAACACATTGAATGGAAAATTTAGACAATTTTGGTGGTAGAGTATGATGCTTCCTTAGAATGAATAGCCATTTGCAGACCTTTGTGTTATTCATGGAATGTAACTGAGAGCAATAAAAGTGAGCTCAGTTAAACTCGATATCGTGATATAAATTCGGAGAACTCACTATAAAAAATATTCAAAAACAGTTCTAATATTGTAACAAGTTTCATTGGCATAACACTTAAAGGACCTCTTTTTGAATATTAAATTATTCATACAATTTCATCAAATGGAAATGGAATTTATTTGCAAATCTGTTTTTGATTTATATTAAAAAGACATGGGCAATTTTTCATATTTTGGCTAAAGTTTAAAAAGCGTATATCTTAGTTTCAAGACTCCAGTCCATATTGAAAATAAACGTCGTTGCTATAACCAGGACAGATAAATGATTGGAAATGACACTATTCCAACTGAATTCCAGGACTTTGTTATGTATACAGGGTTCTTATAGTCCTGTTCCATTTTTAATTATGTTAAGAAGTCAATATACCATATCATAACCAGTTATTTTTTATTTTTTTTTTATTTTAAAGTTTTGTCCTTCATTTAATGCTCCTGCAATTTGAAAAATTTAAGTTTTTATGAACATCTTTTAAATTATCTATAAGATACTCACCAAAAGTACAGTAGATGTTAAAATATCATATGAAGCAAAATAACAACCGAATGCTGGAGTTTCACGCATGAGAGTGAGAGTCATTCCTTTGTAGCAACCTTTCATTCCATGGGATTTGTAAATTTTTTTTATGCAATCGATTGAACTTTTGTACATATTCTAAACAAGAAATATAATTGGCATCTCAATTAGAATGATACTGATAATTACTTAATAAGTTAATAGCATAAAAATAAACTTGCACTCTTGAAAAATTGAAAAAAAAACATTAATTCATTCGGTTTGAATTTAAATACAATAATATAAATAGTTTAAAGCTTGTATCACGATGTACCAGGTACTGCGGAAAACAGCAATCAATCATATATTTTGTGACAGAACTGCTCAATTTTCACATGATGAAATAACACATTGTACTATATTTCACCGAAATGTTCAAATTTCATGTACTAAATTTCAATTTTAATTTCTTGGATGGTTATGCCCAATCAAACGCGCCTATCCAAAATATTCAAACATAACATTAAATTGTCCTCACATCGCTTTTCTTTGCTTTTTTCCCAATACCTTGAACTTGCATTTGTGTTTTTGCCAATTCCATAGGAGCACATATAACACATTGAACAGCACCCGCAAAAGCACCACTGATGAAATGGGTGTACGTTGTCTCTCTTCCAAGGAATGTAATAACTTGTGCTTGGACACCGAAAACAATTGCATTTATAAAACTGAGTCCAAGCAGAGGAGAAGACATTCCCTTAAACAATCCACGCGGCTGTAATAAAAAAGCATCGGTTAAAATTTAGCAGGAAATATGCATAAAATGTAAAAATAATGTAACATTTTTATAAAACTTCTTTTACAAATATAAAAGAAATAGCTATAAAGAAATAGCTTTTTTCAATCAAAGAATAACCGATTAATCTGCTGTTTACTTAGAAGTTAAAACTATGAAAGTTGGATGAGAACAAGAATAATTGTGGAAATGTATAAAAATTTATTCAGAAATTTTAGTTCAATTACCTATAGAGAATCAACCCTCACTTACAAAACATTTAAACATCCAAAGCCATTCAAATTCAACCATCCAAAATTCAGACTACTGGTAACAGCCTTGCGCTTTAAATTAGGTTAAGTTTCTCAATATAAATTCTTAATTTCCAGTTAACTTTACATTTTTTTTTCTCAATAAATCCAATCTAGTGTCCACTATACCAAACAAAGAAAAAACAATATCTTACACTTTCATTTTTAACAATGGATGTAAGACAATGCCAAACTCCCCTATACAGTGATGTTCCACTCTGGGTTTGTAACCGTACCTAGGTGATTGAAAGAAGAAATAATAAAGAATGTTGGCTATAAATAACATCAAAAATAGAAACTTTGGGCTAAGTATGAACTATGAAATATCAGGAGTGACAATGTAACAATTGAATCCAGTTACTATGACAATTTAAACTTGCATCTGTGTGTAACTGTCCCCATGGTAAGATATGAATAAATAGAATGAAGAAAATAACTAAAAAAAGATCAAAAATTCCAAAATAATGGTTCCATGTAGCATAATAATATACAGGCTCCTGTTACAGTCAAAATTTGGTATTAAGTCAGTTCTGGATATATTTGGACCAGGTTTGTTTTATTTTAATCAGTACCCATCAGTATCCTAATTTAATATAGGACCTCATGTACACCCTGTTATAGATTATTTTGGAATTTTACCAAAAATTAAAATATATTGTCCATGACTGTACAACACATTGTAAAGTATTATTGCTCTTTATTATACAATACAGCATCATATCAACTATGACAGAATATTCATTATCTTATTCACCCTCTACATACTAATGCAATTGACATGACTAAAAACCAGTCATATTTTCACCATTGTTAATCATGATGGTCTCATAAAGTACAATATTGGCAGTATTATACAAACACTACAAAAAACCGTAGACTTCCTCATTTGTCATCATTGACGTCAGCATAATACTAAAGCTGAGTTCTAGATTATGAAACTTTATCGAATAATTTTTACATCATATCGAATTGTGCCAATATTGCTATCATTATAAACTACCTCAAATGGTTAAAAATAATTAGGCCTATTCTTACAGTATTTTTTCCAGCCTCTGATATTGAGATAACGTTTCAGAATATCAGGTAAATGGATGCCCTTGAAAAGTGATAAAATACCTAGATTTGTCAAGATTTCTGGGTTATGTATCACTGACACAAATCAGTAGCATTGTACAGACACTACTGTATATATTTTCTATCTCTAGAATGAATTCTTATTCAAAACTTGGAATTAAAAACAATCCTCAAATCACAAGCTAGGACTATACCCATGCTTTATTGATTGCTGGTGGTTAAGGAAAGTAATCAAGATACAAAATAGTTCAAGATCAGCCTAGGACAGTACAGGAATATTAAATTGAGTCATAATATACCTTCACAGTGTCAAAAGGTTGTCCAACAAGAACTCCAGCAACTCCTTAAAAGAAATATTTAATATTCATTAGATTACATATATTGCCTGAATGATGAAAATGATTAACAAATTAATTACAAGTATATTGTAATAGTTATATTTTTTTAGTCCCACCGCCGCAATGTACGAGGATAAGAATTTCATACTTATCCTAAGGGAGAGGAAACCCGATAGGACAACTTAATCGTATAATTCAGGGGTTCTCAATCTTCGGTATTATTTAGCCTGTGAACAGGTTGACTATTATTTACGTAGCCCGCAAATTGGACACTTGACAAACATATTGATAAAATAGTGTCGAAATGTGGCAACAAGGATGTAATTAAAATATAGCATTATCTATTGAACTCATGGAATTGGATATTTCCTAATCCCATAACATCATATTATAGTTAACTGTCTATAAATTTGGAAGAACTATAGTCAGATAGTACTGTAGTATGAATTGAATAAAAGTGATACAGTATAATAAAACAAAGAATGAATGAAAACAGTCGAAAAATACATTTAACAGTTTAATGGATTCATCATCTACCCAATATATTAGGGTTCAAATTCAAGTTAATTCGAATCTTTTTCATTCGTAATTTTTAAACTTACTTCCCAACATACAGACATATCCAAATGCAGGAATGACTCCAGATACTGACACAAAATTAGGGCGATGAGAAAAATTTGAGAACTAATACAAATTACATAAATTAAGCTGTTTATACCTGGCCTATTTACATACCTCCCAGACATCCAGAGAAAAATTCTACATAGTTGATCATCGGCATTCTCTGATATCAAAACACAGAACATCACCGCATCACCACAAGACCATCGATATCAAGGGATTAATTTCGGAACAGCTTCTTCAGTGCTGTTGCTTCACGCGGCAGTCTTGACCTTCACACCCACCACCTACCTACCTCTTCAAAAGAACAAACAGGAAGCTCTTTGGTCTTGTGCTGAATGGCGAGACAGTCGAAGCAGAAGCGAAACTTAATAAACGATACACGTGAGTCAATAAGCACGTATTATTTTGTGCGGTATCGTCTGTGACACCACCTACGAAAATCAACCAATCACGTGCTATTATTCTCGCCCATTTTCTAACGAATTGGAGAATTGGTGAATTGGTGAAGAGTTCTTCACAGTCGTAAGGAAATGAAAGGCCGGTGAAATGTAGAAGTCTAGCAATCATCTCGCACATAACTATCCCCGCATGGGATGCGAACCAACGCGGGGTAATCAGAGGTACTCCTAACTCGCACGATTCACTGAAATGTGCCGATTACATATTAATCTAGTCAATCATTATAATCATATGATACTTACTACCAAATCCGCCTTACAATCCACTATCAAACCTCTGACCCTGTAAATATGGCAATGCAACCGAACTGCCCAGTAAGTAAGTTGTGAAGGCCATTGATATATAAATTATTCTAAAAGAATCGTGCGAGACATTAGCGGCATATATTCGACATCTGGATATTCTCAAAAATCTCGTGCTGGATCTCTCCGATGATTGCTTTTGCAATGTTTCGCTCCATGGCCGGACCCGAGACCACAGTGAACCATATGATTTTTTCCTATTCCAGTTACAAATAACTTAGGTTGCTACTCTGGTATGCCATTTCAGGATTGTGTGATTTCAGTTAGGGTAAGGAACTAAATTCTATGAGTATATCTGTATGAGATAAACCGTAAATAAATTCTAAACACATAACGAAATGACACCACAATTGGTGCCACTGATATGCGATGGTGATCACATACAGAAGGAACACCTAATTACGTGTGGAACACATGCATGACAACAGTCCATGTCATACATCAGGGGTGGACAACCTGCCTTCGACTAAAATCTTCAAAATCGCTCGCGATCGACTGATAATGAGTAACCACTAGGGTTGGGCATTTTCGAATACCTTGTGATTTCAGAATCGAATCGAATAATTTTTTCGAATCGAATCGAATACTTGAAAATATATAATTGTAAGCGACTTTATTACAGTAATTGGTCCTCTCAACAAATGAATTACTGAAGACATAGAATGATTCACTCAGATAGATTACTGAGCGTTCACACAGAATAACAAACACGTTTTATGAATAACCCACTACAGAAAATAGTCATATGTTAGAATTCCGTTGAAAAAATATGACTCAAATGAAAAAAAAATTGGGGAATTCACCTCGACCATTAGCGGAAAGATAGAAACGAGATGGCGGCGATTCGAAATTTAGCTCTTAACCGATTCGAATAATTTACTATTCGATTCGAAATGCCCAGCCCCAGTAACCACGTGTAGGCCTATATCCGCGGGTTTAATCTATATGCGGGAGCTAAAACCCATGGGTTAGGGCTAGTTTGGGTTCAAATATCCGTGAAACAAAAAATTTCCATAGGTGCAATAGTACGCAGGTGCAATTGTCATGGGTTCAAATGTAATGGAACCATTGTCAAATCATAAATGTTACATGACAGCTCGAATTTCAGTATTTAATTTACAATTTCTTCCAAGTGCATCGCTTGCTTGAAATTAGGAAAAGATGTGCATTCGGATGCCACTCCTACCGTTAAAAATACAATTTATCACACTAATCTTGGAGCGAGAGAATAACTTTCGCATACAAGTCATTTCTCAGTCAAGACACGTTCATTTCTAGAATTTGGCAGCGAACAAACTTTTATTTGTTAGTAATAATCCATCTACCGGCTTGCTCAGACTCAAATACTGTATTGTATATCGTATTTTGCGCATGTACAGTACTATATTGTTCCTGTTTAAAACACATAGCGGGCGCTGCATGATACTAGTTCAAGGCAATTTTTGGGTATGTTGTCAAATTTACAAACATCAGACGCGATCGACCGGTCAGTCGCGATCGACGTGTCGGCCACCCCTGGTATACACAGATTTAATTACGGCAGTGCATGTGGAACGGACCACTCAATCATAAAATACCAAACCAGCGCTTCTTGCCAGTTTAGTTCAGGTTCAACCTTCCAAATGCAAGTAGCGCATTGGCGGAATAGGTAAGTGGCAAGCCCCCTAACCTCGCGACGGTGAAAAATCCGATTCTCCTTCAATTATAGAATAGGACCTTGAGTGAGACCATCACAAGCGACGCAAGTGTTATAGGTGGAAGATATCCAAGACTGTTTTAACATATCATACAAGCAGCGAGCCAGCACAAGCAGAGTTGGTTGAAATATGATAAATTTTATACATCAATATCAAAGAAACATGAGAACAACATAGTTCAAAATTTATTGAAAAAAGTGCTCAACGTCGCAATTGAATACTAACCTACAGATACTCTAAAAGCATTCTCAGTAGTACTATGGCCATAGAAACCTAAAATGATATATTTTACTTAACCACCATCAAATTTACGTTTAAAGGGGTGCTTAAAGCTGTGTGAAAACCAACAAGTAGAATGTCAAAAACACAACCATATGGAGGTTCTGAATTCCTCGTTTAAAACATTTACATCAACCAAAATATTTATAAACTTGAAGACAGACACAGGGAGTGATGGTTGTAAGTGATCATTTCAATTTGGACTGGATTATTCTTTCAACATATCACCAAGAGCTTCCATATATACAATAACATTAGGCGTGAAAATGTAATATAAGACCTCATAGATAACATTAGCAGTCTTTGACTGCCCCAGTCAGACACAAAAGCTGTCAATAACAATTGAAAAGGTTTTCACTCCCCAAGACAAACACTCATTAGAAAGGCTAAAAGCCATTATGCTTTAAAATTACAACAGCCAAGTGATGTTCTTCAGGTTTCAAAAGTGAAAATCGATACAACAATTGACTAAAAATTGGCTAGTAAGGCTAAAAATAACTAAGGCAAGGGGAAAATTTTGTGTAGATATACAACATTATCGTTGCTTATTTTTATTTTTGTGTATATGGTAGTTCAACAGACATTATTTTTCTATATCAATGAAAAAAACATACAAAAACTTTGCGTGATTGAACAAAAATGATGACACCTATTACAAATTTGATCCAATTTAGCGATTCCCCAAATGTGAGAATTCGTTTTAATATATTTTCAAAAATGATTTTTAGAATGCAATATCAAAGTTAAAAAATATGAGGTAAAACCTGAAAAGTATAGTACAATAATAAATTTGTTTTTGTTTCAAAACAGCACATTACTTTCTAATACAATAACATAATCCAGTGCTATGGTCTGCCACACGATAACCGGCAGATGGTCAAGTTATTCATAAATTACAATGAGATAGAAATTGATGTCAGTCCAATATGAACAATTTTAAAAACCATGGTAAGAATTGAATTATTATAGAAAAGAGTGTTGCAGAACCCAACCTTAGGATGCACTTTGCAAATACCCCTTTCCTTAATCTCACATGCAACTGGGGTAATTAAATCGAATGTTTGAAAGATAGTAAGCACAAATATTGACAACACTCTATACAATGTTAAATACAACACTACCGGTATATATACAAATTTTCAGAAAAATCCAAGATATGAATTACAAAGCGAAAATGTTCATAGCGGTTTGATCATAAAAGCAATGCTAAAACGCATTTTAATCTGTTCTTTAAATTCCATACAGAAACAAAAATTTTATCTTGTTGCTAGTGGCAACAGTCACTCCAAAACCAGGGAGACACAGAGGTATATCATCATTAACCTTATAGCTACGCATAGTACTTGTGATCAATCATGCATCTATTATTATTCGCCTAAACTTTTTCTCATGTTATAGATCATAAAACCAGTTGTAAATGGTATCTTGGTAGTGTTTTCACCATCGGCAGAACTCTATTATCAATAAACCTGAATTATTGAATCTCTAGATTGCCCAACACCGATCCACTGAACTGAAAACAAAAATATTGAGTTTAAGATTGCAAGCTGTCTTTAGCAATGCATGGATTTTAATGGGGGGGTCAAATCCGAAGCTATTGGGTATTCAATTAGGGCCACATCTGTGTCTTTATTTCGGCACATTGGCCCCATTAACTTAGAAGGTTTACGTTTACTTTTTTTAAATAACTAATTTCAATATTAGATTTTTTTACAGTTGCTCATATTTGCGTTTAACTATGCATGAATTGTGATGCCATAATGAGAGAAATGCGAATAGCGCTGTCTTGATTAGTGAACGATCACTTGCTCGAAATATACAGCGCCTGGTATTGGCGTTAAATTTTTTGTGGTTACTCAGTTTTCCAAAAATTATTTATCTGTTTCAACTCTAGAATCTATTGAGGTGCACTGTCAAACATATTTTGTGAAAAAACAGATCTTTAGTAAAAACAGTTGAGTAGCTCTGGAACAATTTCAAAGCCATTAACATTCAACCTTGAGGCTATTTGCTTTCATTGGAAAAAATTTCAACGTATACTCTCTATCGTATATCTTCATATCAAAGGTATGTTTTGTGATGCTGTTTTTAAATTATATGTATCCAGGTAAAAATGAGAACATATAAAAAATGTATTATAAAAGATCGCTTAAATAGACGCAATAATAGTGTTGTGAGTGTGACACACCAAACAAAGCTGGTTTACATACTTGGCACTTGTAATATCTCTTGAATTTTGTTCACGTAACATTGAGCATTATATGGCAGTTCTTCAAATGTCCTACAACTCACAGTGCTTTGTTTCCACCCTGGTAGCGTTAGGTATTCAACCTCTACATCACGAAGTACTTCTAATGTTGCTGAACATAAAATAATCGAATTGATATATAAATAGCTACAGAGCAGCCAAAAACTTCCGATACATTATTACAAACCTGGAAACTGTGGTAGTTTTTCTCCTTTATGTGTGTACGCGATACCAATCTTTAATTCCTCAAAATTATCCAAGATGTCCAACTTTGTCAAGGCAATACTAAAGTAAAAATATGAATAATATAAAAGGATAGCAACACAACACAGTAGTGACAGACTAGTTAAAGCAATAGTCAAGTTTATTTTTAAGTCAGTAGAGGCAAGCAGTACAACATACAAAGTTAAGATAGATGTTCTAAAATCTAATACAATTAATGCAGTCTGGAATTTTTAGAATTGAACAAATTGATTTGAACAAATTCTACCTTGACAAATTATTGATGACATGAGCGTATTTAACCATGACAAGGTCGAGCCATCCACATCTTCTACGTCTACCTGTCGTTACACCAAATTCTTTACCAACTTCCTGCAGAGTATCACCTATTTCCTGTTGATATATTGAAGTAATAAATACCCAGGAATAATGCAAGAATGAAGCAAGATAATTTTCTAACAAGACGTTTGACAGCTATACCTTATACCTGGTAAACATCTGGGCTTGGAAGAACATGAATTTTTCATATGATGTACTTATATTTGAAAGGAGCTAATTTCTTTTGAAGAACTAGAATAATTCTGGTTTAGCATTGCCTACCCAATTTATTAAAACCTGGGTTAGGCGGTAGACATGGGATTTGAACCCATGCATTTTAATATGCGATGAAATCATGGTCAAGTCTAGTTGGCCAAAAGATATCATAAATGAAGATATAAAATTAAAAATAAGAAGATTCAAAAAAATTTTTGCAGCGATTCTGGTAGAATTATTGATGATTTTGTAATTAAATCAATACTATATGGATAATAAAGAAGAATTAATGGATATCAAATTAATATGATATTAATGTTTTATGTGAAGCAATAGAGAGCAATGTAGAGCATTAAAGTGTTTGCAAATTCGTAAAAAAAATTATTCCATGTCACAGATATATAATAACGTGTCAATTGTATATTCATTCCCATTTAGGAATATTTCCAACACAACCGAACATATTAAACTGGACAAAAACTAAAACAATAAAAGGTGTATTAATTCTATGGCACTGTAACTATTATAACAATTACATTCATACATAGAATAAAAGCGAAGTATACAGTTCCTTAAATATGAGTTTTGATAAAAAGATCATTTGAAAGAGAACAATAGAATTCGCAATAAAGGAGATAAAAATAGACTATTGAATAAATATTATTTTAACATTGCCAGTGTTAAAATATTTAATATAAATACCACAGGTGTGAATTAAAAAAGACTCAAATATTTGAACACAAACAATAAAACATTGTATTTAGGGGCAAGGGCAAAGAGTTCCGCACGTGAAACCATTTTCTTTTAGTTTGTGAAAAACATGTAGTCATTACGCAATGTTCCTTTTTTGTTCATTAAAACAATGAACTTTCAACTTTAACTTATGAACTTTATATTAAGTTTTTATTTGAAAAAAATATGTTCAACCTCTCCCTGCATACATAGTACAACAATAAAAGACCATGATATGGTACTTTACAACTTCTGACTCAAAATTTACATAGGACGTTATAATAACCTTTTTCTCGAGCAGTTAACTTCATCACGGTTATTCTTGGCTCAAAACATTGTTCTTTAGGCCACAAAGACATTACCAATAAAACTCCAGTATAATATACAGATGAGGAATTGATGTTTTAGAAATATCCATTACCGGTACTTACATATGCAGATAGCAGGTAACATTTTAAAAGCTGACACCATAAGAACTGATGATAGGCATAAAAACCTGATACTTACGTTACATTGTTCAGTAGGAAATGGTCCTGCACCAACACGAGAAGTATAAGCTTTCACAACACCAACGACATTGCCAATAGAAGATGGAGGGAGGCCAAGTCCTGTACAAATCCCTCCAACTGAGCAGTTTGATGAAGTAACGAATGGATATGTTCCTGAGGATTTGAATACACAAAATCATCTATTATCAAAAGTTCACACAATTTATGGCATAGCTAAAATGTAGAGATACAAAAACTTTTGGTATTCGAAATATTCTACTCTGAAAAACATTTCACTTTTGAATATCCCAAGTGAATTTATTATACAACAATTTATTATATGCAAAATTTTGACATCTAAAATGTGAATAAATTCAAGATATCAACAAAAAAACTAATAATTTATCTGATAATTACTTTTTCAAAACTTATTTGATCTAGAATTATTTATACGAATACATTGTGTTAATAAATAATGGTATACGGATACACCATTTTCTGATAACAAGATTATATACATATATAAAGCATAATTAAATATTTTTGAACAAGTTTATTTCGTTTTTCATCACAGAGAAGAAGAATACACTCTTGTAGACTACTTCAAAGCAGATGAATCCTTATTCTATTTCATTTTTGTGATCTGTAGTTTAGATTAAGGCAAGTTGACAACCAGGACTATTATCTCATATAAGGTTGCATTTATGAAAATTTCTTGTAAGTGAATGCTATAAAACATCTCACAAAATGTTAATAAAAACTTTGCAAACACTATTTTATTCAATCAAACACTTACCAAAATCAATATCGAGCATTGTTGCGTTTGCTCCTTCCACCAAAATATTTTTTTCTTCTTGAGACTGTGTAACTTCATGCATGAAAAGAACTGCATCTTTTACCTGGAAATATTGTTAAAACTATCAGAAATTGTCAAAATTATGATCTAAAAACACGACGGTCACATATTTAGGTACTCCCGAAGTATGTGAACCAAGATGGTGGACACCGGAGCGTAGTATGTGTACCAGGTTAGGGTTAGGCCATAATTTCAGGTACAAATACTACGGGAGTTACTTGGCTAGTCCACGAACTCATAATAGAACTAAAATAAGGAAAATTGGAATAATTCCGGTGTCCGCCATCTTGGTTCACATACTTCGGGAGCACCCATATTTATAATATTGAACACACAGACGACTCGAAGAGGGTAAATGTTGAAATTTTAAAAAAGAAATTTTTAAAAATATTGCCTGGTAAGAGGTGCTCTTTAATTAAGCTGGTACCTAATCGTAGTTTGAAGCAATATTCACCATAGTATTTCAAGGGAAAATTTATAGAACGGAAATAAACATTTGCGATATTTTATCAAAACTGCTTTTTCGCCCTTTTGACTAATTATTTTTTTATTCTAGAAAAATCTATAAACATCTAAAATCAAAATCTAGAAACCTGCTGTTTCAAATGCTATACTCAATTGAAAATATGCATTCGATTCACTAAACTTTAATACGGTAGAGAAGTTTTAAACAAGACATATCTCACCAATGGCCTTAATTTCTCTCTCAGCTCATCGTACCGTAATAATTCGGATTCAATATCAATTTCAAGGTCAGGAAATTGTTTCTGAAACATCATTGCCAGCTGTCGATATCTGGAGAATAAATGAACCTTAATGATGTGATAGGGAATTGATTTTCGTACCTCATTACTACCTATTGACAAGGGAAACAAAGTTACACTAGTTGACGATTTTTTCCTTAGACTAGCAGACCTAGGCTTTAATCTCATATGGGCTGACTGTTTTAAATAAACATGATGCAGCGAAATAAACTTCTAGTTCAAACTATATCATTGCTAATTTTTCTGCAACATGTGTTATAATATATTCTATGTTCACATACCAAACCTAATAGGTAGGATTTACATATTTCTTCCGCGGAGAGGAAATGGAGGAAAAAGACGGCTCAATTTGATCATATGGCGAACCACGGCCTCACGTGGTTAGCGGTCCATGTAGGCCTGTAGCGCATTAGTTAGCCAGTTATTTGTTCTCAGATGTATGGAATTGATGACTTAATAGACACTCATTAACCTTTGACCTTACAGGTACGAATAGCTAATTTTAAACACCAATGAAAAATAATTAATAATATTACTTTACTGGTATTAGTGATGCATAGTAATATGAAAAATATTAATTAGAAGATATCAATCCTAGTTCCCTGGGGAAATCAGATCATCAACATATCGAAGAAGTATTCAAAACAGAAAGCAAGACATAATAGGTGGGTGTGCAATGTATATTACACAATGTTACTAATATATAACTCATTCCTACGTATTAATTTGATAAACCTACTTCTCTGCAAAATATTCCCGATTCCCCATGAGTTCACCGATTCTGATTCCATGTCGTGCAGCTTTCGTGGAATATGTTGGACCAATCCCTTTCTTTGTTGTTCCGAGTCTATTAAAATGAATCAAGAAATAGAATCATATTGACATATACAAAGTGAGGAAACCTAATATGGTATAGATTTTTGGATATGGGCTGGGCTTTCTTCTCCAAATTAGCTTTGAGAGCTTGATAGCATCCCCCTGGTTAAAAGATCCACAAAATTTTACATACCGTGAGTCCCCACTAAAGGTAAAATTTTGATATAATAGAAATCAATGTAATTTTCTAAATTAAAAAGCTTAGGAGATTAATTGAATTTCAAAGATTGTATTAAATAAAAAAGGTAAGTTGACTATGGTACTTAGATTAGGATTCGAATGGTCAGTAGGAATACCGTATTTATAAAGACATAATCAGATACAAATAATAAATAGATTGTTGTTAAAGTTGTAATAGGAATGATTTATCATATTTACTAGTCACTAAAAAGTACTAAACTGGTTGAATATTGACCGAAAAATAAATTCAAAAGTTCAACTTTGTAATCATATTTTTCGACTATTATTTTAAAATCTCCATATTTCTAAACGCATACTCAATTAGTATTGAATCATTATTAACCAACAAATTTATCAACTTTTCCTAACCAATTAATAAGTTACAATTATGATTAACCCACTTCTTAGTGCCTTTTTGTGCTTCCTGCATTCCATCTACAGCATGATGAAAATCAAAAACCAGATGTGCTCGTTCGGACACAATTAAATTTTCTCTCCACCATGTCAAACCTGAACAATGTTTTGATAAAAGAACAAAATAAGGTTTCTAAATTTAGCTAAGAAAAGCCATATTGAAGTCGCAAAAATGTACGTTACTACAGACCAGTAGTAGAAAACTTTGAAAAACAATCTGTATGAAATCAATTTCGGGCAAGTACACATTATAAATTACCACAGGATAATTTTATGACAAAACAACACAAGTCGGTAAGACTGAATTTAGTTGTGAGTCACACTTGGGCATCAAACCTCTCGAGTCGAGTTAAAAATAATACCTTTCTCCTCATTACTCTCAACTTCCTTGAACAATGAAGGAACATGAACAACACAACCATTCCCAATAACTGCTTTGCACTTCGGATTTATGAGTCCACTTGGCAGTAGATGAAAATAGTATTTTTGGTCGTTCACAACAACAGTATGCCCAGCGTTGTTTCCACCCTGATTACAAAAACATAATACCTTGCTTTAATATTAATAACTAAAACATTCCATATTATAAGCACTTCATTTCATCATTCCACTTCAAATTTGGAAGTACTTACATTTTTCAAGCCTACGAACATTGCTTACTAGGAAAATTATATAGCAAAAAAGGCCAAACCAAATAATTGATAATGTAAGAAATTTCAAAACAAAATAATCACAATCTGAAAACAAGATGTATATGCATATAATTAAAAATATTAGTATCCAGATATTGAAATATTCTTGAAAAATGGAATAATACCAACACGCTATAACAAATTTCAGAAAAGTATTCCAAAACATATTTATCTAATGAATTCATTGTTCCAAACATATTTATGTTTATATTCATTTCGGCCCTATAAATCTGATAAAAGAATTTTAATTAAAACACAACCATTCTCCATCTATATTATAATGAATCTTGAAAAAAAATCATATGAAATATAAAAACACACTTGTGCACGGCAGACAATATCAGCTTTAGTAGCAAGAAGATCAATAATTTTTCCTTTGCCCTCATCACCCCATTGTGTACCAAGAACAACGGTTGCCTTGTTTTTGCATTGGTTTGTCAACGGCCTTTTGAAACCATTTACATGATCACCATCTCCATTCATTTGAGCATAGCAAGTTCCTGACATTTTGCTAGTGAAACACGATGTACACAAAAACAAAAGCCTACCTAGAAACTCTAGAATCTAAATATAGAGAACTGCTATGAGACATGGAATAAAAAATCATAAGTTGACAAAGAGATTAAGAATTTACCTACATTTATAAAACTGAAAAAAAAGCAGACATTCAAACAATATTTTTTCAGTTCAAAATAAAGATATATAAAATAGTGAGTTCGCGACCTACTACTGTACTAGTTTAACAACTGTTAGTCACTTGCCAACAGTTCAGTAACTTTCAGTCTAGCAAAGAGAAGTTTCATTTTAATCTAACCAACCATTTCAGTTTCAACGTGGCAAAGTTGGATAGCCGCTAATTAACACATTATTATTTAATTACAAAACAACGGAGTAGGTGTTGAAACTTATTTATCTGCTATTTAAATGCTCCAAATTAAGGTGTCAAGTTTCTCACATAATCAACCATGTAACAGAGAATTGAATATCTGATATCCAGATAGCATTTCTGAAAAAAAGACTTCAAAACTATTGCTGATATCATTTATCTCTTTTCAAGGCTTATACATCAATCCAAAAATCAGAATATTTATTGAATGCAAAGATCAATTCAGAAATTTTTGTCCACAGTGCAACAATTTAATTCATTCATTACAAATGTAAATTAAGATTTCAATTTTATGTTATTGTCAAAACTCCACATCATTTACAGACCACGATGTGGCATTAAATAACATGACTGATAGCCTGGAAGTTGCGTAATGATAATAATACACAATCACATATGAGTTAGGTTATAGGACATTTGAGCATATTCGTCGCAATATGCCAGTACGAATACGCTGAAATTAACAGTTGTACAGAATTGAACTGTGTTCCGAGAAGTAAGTTCACCGTTCCACACATGTTACCATCCTACTGACATAACAGCACCTATCCCTGCCATACAACACAATTACACAACCAGAGAGATTTACAACTTAACCTACAATTCCAACTCTCACTTACAAGTATGAATTAGGAAATAAACCAAGGAGTTCTCAGTAAAGACATAAAAAAGTATGACATGCTGTGTCTGGCATTGGTATTCTATGAAGGGATTACTACTGTATTAATATGACTAATCAACCAGAAAGTAAATAGGAAACAATAGAGAGAAAAGCGATTAAGATTAAGTACGTAAGAAAGATCAGAGGTCACAAAATGCAATCTAAGAGTATTAAGAAGGAAACAGCTTTCTGTTCGGGATTTAAAGATTTGAACATGAAGATTAGCTATCATCAAGGTTGCTTAAGTGTTAATCATAATTACACACTATTGTTTGTTTGTTTTTTATTTGTCATTCTATTTAGATATTTCAAATGTCTGGGATAAATAAATAAAAAAGTAAAGGGGGAAGCATGAAATTACTAGCCAGCAGTTACAGAGTATTAAACAGGAAATAGAATACTGCAATATCTCGATTTTTTCCCACAAGAAGGACTTAATAATGGGAAACAAGACTATTTACACCAGTGCAAGTCATTCGAGTATATACTCCTGGGTGTACCAAAAAGTTTAAATCACAGTACTGCAGTAATATGTTTGTAATGTTATTGTTGTAGGAGTCATTTCTGGTGAAAAGTTGTCTGATTCCAAGATGTCCCGACATTTGGTTCAATGGAGCAAACACTATTTGTTTATGAAACGATGAAGTCTGACACAATAGCCGATACGGTTGGGCCATGCTTGTCTTGATAATATTCTTATCAATCGCAGCATGACCCAGCCACCATGTGACCAAAATAGTGTTTTTTTGGTTAAAACTTTCGAATGCTACGATGAAATTTCTATCCCTTGGTTAAATAGAATTATTTTTTCCAAGGAATGTAACGGTGCCGTTTTTAGATTGCGCTTCATTTTGGTTTATTGCACAATATCGGTGACGTATTTAGATTGCGCTTCCTTTTAGTTTATTGCACAATGTCGGTATGCATTCACTCTTTTATTGTCTAAATGTAGGGGCTATTCTAGGAATCAGAATACTGTGCCGTACTGCAGTACTGTATGTTGGTATGGCAGAGTTGAAAACATACAAAAAAAACACAACCAAGTACCGGTATCAAGTGGCATCGATACTAAGAGTTCCTGAGAGAAAAAGAGCTATTATTTTCACAAATTGAATTTAACGTTAGATTCAAAATGAAACACAAAATGTTTTTTGATTGAATTTTCCCAATGTAGTAATTTAGTCCAACACAATCCAGTAAATCCTCTATAACTTCACAACTTGCTCTATTGCTGTGTATTGGCATACAGATATCTGAATCCGAAATAGGCTATTTGGTATTGCTTAAATTAATTGAATGTAAGTCAGTAAGTTAGACTACTGATACCGGTACATCACACTGTCTTTAGAGTCCAGGAGTCAGACTTCAAAGGCCTTCCGATTACAGTAATACCAGAATACGGTACCGGTACCGGTAAGCGATAAGCTTACTGTAGGACTGTAGGATGAAAAGCAAAAATCCACAAAATCAAAGAACCAGTACCGGCATGGTACAGTGTTAACATACCTAGTCCAGTACCCAATCCTAGTTGAAATTTATTGTTATCATAAGAACACACTTGCACATTATATCGTAGCGGTAGATTATCTTCATTGTACAACAAACTTTCATATTTTATCACATTGCGGTACCGGTAATCTACTACAGTAATGGTAAAAAGCTCAAGGTCGAAAGGTCAGCACTTCCCGCTAAAACTGACACCGCTGCCCACTTCAGCAATTTTGACGTTGATTTAACTGGGAGAACATACACCTCATGTGTTGTCGAGTACAAACACAAGTAAGTGAGTGTATTTCAAATACACTGTCTTTTCCCAGTGAATAAAATAACTCACAAATGCACGCCATACAATAACGAAATTTGATAAAATAACCTCGGCGGGTGGCTCATCGTGCGAGATATTATATACATTATACATTATAATTATATACAATATTGCACTCCATACTTTTATTTGAGTATACATGTCTCGTGAACAGTTTCTGTGAATAATTATATATATATATTATAAGACTCGTGGTGGCTTGACCATGGTTTAAGGTAGGCTTACCATACGTCCCGGTTTAGCCGGGACAGTCCCGGTTTTACCAAGCTGTCCCGGCGTCCCGGCCGGTAGACTCAAATGTCCCGGTTTGGCAGCTCGGCTGCCATGGGTAAAAGTTCATATTCAATATTATTATAATATTTTTTATTTTATTGAAGACAGCCCACTTACCACCACTGATTTGCGACACACTTTACATGTTCAGAGAGGAAAAGAGAGAGAAAGAAATTTGTCTATTGTTATGTCACAATTGTGATATGTTTTAGGATAGGATAGGATTTACATATTTATCCCGGGGGAGAGGAAAGCCGATAAGACGGCTTATCCATATGGCGAACCACGGCCTCTCGTCCGGTTACCATTCCAAGTCGGGTATGGAATTAGATTAACTGTATTGTTTGTTTTCGAAAGCTTGGACTTGGTGGTGGAGGAAGCCGTAACCGACCAGCGGTTACGTGAACCACCCAACGACGGCGAGGAGTCCAGCAATCCTCTCGCACATAACCATCCCTGCATGGGATTCGAACCTGCGAACCCACGCAGAGTAGTTAGAGGTGCGGTGGCGAGCGTATTCCTAACGCTTAGCCCGTTGAGCCACACCGCCGCGCCATGCGTTTTAATGCGTCACCTGACGTTAACTGCTCTGCCGTTAAGTTGTCGAAATGCCAAAAACAAAGTGCAAATTTTCCAATGAGTTGAAGAGAGATTTTCTTCATTTGAAGCAAACTGAAGGAGGAAAAACACTTTGCACTCATTGCAGATCTGTTTTTTCTATTAGTCATGGCGGTCGTTCAGATGTCAACGATCGTCTCCAAAGCAAGAAGCACCAATCATTATCGGCTCGACTGACCAACTTCTTTGCAATAACAAATTCGAAAGATTCTTTGTTTTGGGCAGCCAAAGAGGCCACAGTTGCCTATCATACTGCTGTTCATGGCCAAAGTTTTCACTGCACCTCTATATTAATTTCAAATTTTTTTTTAGCCTAAATTTGCATTAGCCAGAACTAAATGCGAGTCGGTGATTGTTAATTGCATTGCTCCACTGCTATCCTCTGAACTCGTATCAGTAACCATCGATGCATTAAGCAGAAAAGATTTAAAGCTTGTTCCAGTTGTGGTTTGTTATTTTTTACCTGATGTTGGTGTGAAAAAAACTATTCGAATTCAAATCTCTACCCGGGGAAACCGCCGAAACTTTTACTGAATACTTGCTCTCTGTTCTCGATCAAAAACATTTAAAAGGAAGAGTTGTTGGATTCTGTGCGGATAACTGCAACACCTACTTCGGAGGCGTAAAAAGACGCGGTACAAATATTGTTTATTTCAAACTAAAAGAAAGCCCAAAAAGAAATATAACCGGTATAGGATGTGCGGCTCATGTAGTTCATAACTGCATTCAACATGCGTAGATACTTTGCCTGTTTGTGTAGAAAGTTTTGCCGTAGAAATTTATAAATATTTTTATATATACACTGTCCGAGTAACAGAACTGAAATCATTCTGCGACTTTGTTGATATTGAATATCAACGGCTATTGCAGCATGGCAACACTCGGTTTCTCTCATTATTACCTGCTCTGCAGAGGATTACGGAAATTGAAGGCTTGAAAAGTTATTTCAATTCTCAAGAAGAATGCCCGACTCTTATACAAAAATGTTTCGACGATACAGCGAAATTTGTCCTTGGCCAGCTCACCTACTTCAAAATTGTTTTCATTTTGGAAAAAGATAATACTAATGCTGTAGATGTTGCAAATATTTTGCCTGAGGTGAAGCAAGAAAAAATGGAAAGTGTGTTTATTCCATCGCAAGCGATGGATAACGAAATATTTACCCGGGCATAGATCAAATGCAATTTAGCTTACTTTGCCCGTTGAGGACAAGTGGATAGAAATGTTCAAGAATTTTTCAAGCAAAAATATTAGTATTTTGAATTTGCAGAAACTTGTTGAATTTGTATTTTGTTTGCCTGAAACATCGGCATCTGATGAACGGCTTTTC